ACTACCCCATTCCCCCCACTGCCCCATTTCCCCCACTGCCCCATTTCCCCCACTGCCCCAATCCCCACACTACCCCATTCCCCCCACGTCCCCTCTTAACCCCACTTCCACCTTCCACCACCCACCTCCCCCCGTACCCCTCCAACCCCACTTCCCCCTTCTCCCCACCCCAGTCGCCACTCATGCCCCCCACCTCTGTACTGCCGATTGTTGATCACCAGGTAGGGCTGGATGGTGCCGCCTGTCGAGTCGACCTTTGAGGCAACTCAAAAATCACCAGGTAGGGCTGGATGGTGCCGCCTGTCGAGTCGACCTTTGAGGCAACTCAAAAATCACCAGGTAGGGCTGGATGGTGCCGCCTGTCGAGTCGACCTTTGAGGCAACTCAAAAACACCAGGTAGGGCTGGATGGTGCCGCCTGTCGAGTCGACTCAAAGTCAACCCACCTTCCCCTTCCACCCCCCTTGCGCCCCATCCCCCACCTCCCCCTCCCCCCCCCCCCTGCCCCCCTGCGCCCAGCCTCCAGCGCCCACATCGGTACTGCTCGTTGTTGATCACCAGGGTGGGTAAGATGGTTTCTTAGAATTCCCCAAAACCAGATCTTCCCCCCACCTGCACCCTGCCTGCGCACCCTTCCCCCCAGCCCCCCTTCCCTGCGCCCAGCCTCCAGCGCCCACCTCTGTACTGCTCATTGTTGATCACAAGCGTGGGCTGGATGGTGACGTCACTGCGCCCATTCTTGCCCACCTGTGCATGATTTGGGGGGGATGTGGGAGGAAGAGGAAGGAGGGGGAAGGAGGAGGAAGGAGGGGGAAGGGAAGGAGGGGGAAGGAGGGGGAAGAAGGAGGAAGGAGGGGGAAGGGAAGGAGGGGGGAGGAGGAGGAAGGAGGGGGAAGGAAAGGAGGGGGAACGAGGGGGAAGGAGGGGGAGAGGTGGGTGAGAGGAGGGTGAGAGGAGGGTGAGAGGAGGGTGAGAGGAGGGCGAGAGGAGGGCGAGAGGAGGGTGAGAGGAGGGTGAGAGGAGGGTGAGAGGAGGGTGAGAGGAGGGTGAGAGGAGGGTGAGAGGAGGGTGAGAGGAGGGTAAGAGGAGGGTGAGAGGAGGGTATTATGAGAATGGCAGTGTACTGTTCAGAGATGAATGAGAAGAAATGACAACACGAGGAGCACCATGGTACGGCATGAGAGAATGAAATGAGATGATGGCACCGCATGCACAGGAAGGAGCAAAAATACTCCCCCTTTTCCCCCCCTTTTCCTCCCCCCTCCCCCCTTCCCCTCCTCCCCCAAGCGACCCAAAAAAGCACGGCCCACCTGCGCGTCCTCCTGCTGCTGCAGCAGCGGGTTATCCACGTCCTGTGTTGGATCGCCCACACACGAGCGCACGTTGCGCACATCAATGCCTGGCGGGGGGTGGAGGGGGGGATGAGGGTAAAGGACACGGGAGAGAGGCGGGGGGAGAAGCGGGAAAAAGGGAGAGGGGAGAGGGGGAATGGGCGGAGGGGAGAAAGGGAGGGGAGGGGAGGTTGAGGGGGAGAGGAGGAGGGGAGACGGGTCCTGCATGGGAGCAGCTCCACATTCATGGCTTTGATATGCTTTTATATGTTTTGATATGGAGAAACTCGAAACTAGTCCTGGCAGTAGCATATGCTGCACGCTGCATGCTGCACGCACGCTCCACATGGGGTCTGGTAGAAGGGCAACAAGGGAGCACCAAGGCGTCTCACTCACCCAGCGACGTGAGAACGGTCTCGGCGCACACCGCATTGAACATCTTATCAGCCATGCTGCACCGCTTCCTGAAGTCGGTGACATAGTCCCACCACACCCACGGCTTCCCCGTGTCATTCGCCCACTTCCACACGCACAGCTGCCGCAGATTCTCCACCAGCACATCCTTCCCATCATACCCCTCCTCGAAATCACTCTCGGGGTCCGGCGCACAGTACCTCCCCTTGTGAATGCACTGGTTCTTGCAGGCTATAGAGTCCACCTCCTCTGGCGGGCAGTACCAGGTGATGTAATGCGGCGTGAAGAGCGTATACCCCCCCTGCTCGAGGGTAATCGCCAGCCCCTTGAACTTATCCAGAAAGTTGGTCAGATCGTTGCATTTCGGCCCGCAGATGTCGTTACTCGTGCCCCACAGCTCGTACTCTACCCGCTCGTCCGGGTGAGGCAGCGTCTCCCGCCAGTCCAGGTCCACCAGGACCATGTTCCCAGAGGAAAGAGCCGAGCGGATCTTGTCTCCGGTGGCCTTTTCGATGAGTGCGGAGGGGATGGTGATGTTGTTGACGTAGCGGTCGGTGTCCTGGTCGTCCACAGGGGCTTCCATTGTAACAAGGGACTCTGTGTCCGTGTCCGCTACCAGGACCGCTGATGCTCCACCTAGTTGCGCGTACCACACCTTCTGACTGAAGTAGCAGTCTGGGGAGGCGGGGGAAGGGGGGAAAGAATGGGGGGAACGGGAGTAGTAACGAAGGGTTGAGAGGAATGCGTCTCCATGCCCTCCGGCAGAGGAAGGTCCAAAACGAATCCATGTCCGTGTCCTCCGGGAGCGCGTTGTAAGGCGCGCTGTCCTTGTCCTCCGTCTCAAAAGGCGTCTCCATGGTCCCGAGCGACCCCGTGTGGCCGCGTCTTCCGCCAGCGCACCTGGCGCACCCGCTCTTGAAGCGCCTCAAGAGTCACTCGCGAGTCCGCGTAGCACGGCTTGCGAAACATTGTCCGCATCGAAGCGACATAATATGGATTTTGAGTCAACTCCGAAACGAATTTCCTCCCTCAGGCATGATGAGTTCCTCAGAAACGAGCCAAACATCGTCGACCGGCGAACAGCAACGCGAGCAATGACCATTTCAGAAAGGCGAAGCTACCAGTGACATACGTACGTCGTGAGAGTGACATGTGAGTGACCTGCTCGCTCCACCATTCCTACGATGGTCTTTTCGAAGTAAAGGATTGTGTGAGTTGTAAGTGAATGTGAACTGCCTCACACGGGATTATGTAAGAATCGGTAAGAGTCGCAGAACTAAGTTATGCGTGATCTACTAACTGATAAGAGCAATGGAATTTCCAGTGACCTACATTCTCAATCGACCTTCGATCGTGGGTCAGTCGCAACAGACTCGGGCGGACAATTAAGTTGTATGTCTCGCCTTAAGACCATAATAAATGGGAACACAAAGAGGGGCCCAAATCTTCGGTCAACCATAAGAGCAATGGGTTAAGAAGCGGACGGCTACAGCTTCACGCTTACGCTTTAACGACGTCTCTAAAAACGACGTAGGACGCGACCTACCTCCTCGGTCGACCATAAGAATGGTGGGTCGTTGACCGACGCCCTTCTTGAAGGCCTCAGACTTGGATAGTTTCGTGCATCCCGCCTTGTTATTCTGTAAGTATACAATCACGCCCGTTAGAGTGCCGCCGTATTGAGGCACTCCGAAGTTGGCGATTGCGCTGTCGTACGTCCCGCGAATGCTCTTCGGCTCTGTGATTTGGATGCTGTGCGTCTGCACGATGAACGACGCCCGTGCGACGGCGAGCGACGAGCCGACGACAACGAATACGAAGAGGAACGTCGCAAGTCGACGGAGAGATTCCATGGCTGCTGCGCTGTCAGAGGTGGCACGACACGAATCTAAGCACCCACGTCGTGCATTCGACGCCCTCAACGCAAAACCTAGAAACTCCTACACTCTAATGGACTGCCCTGGGTGCAGGCTGGAAATGCCACAGCGCACGCAAACTGCCGTGTAGTCTAGAGGACCCTGTGTGAGTGTACTGTCTGCACCTCCCAGGGCTGGACAGACGTAAACGGTGACGGAATTTGGTCAAGGGCAGTCTGCTGGCGAGTCAACTCTACTTTCACTCGTTTCATTCTGCCCGTGTTGTAAGTGCGGGCGTCCTAGAATTGATGAGTGTTGGTGGTCCCCACCCCATCTCAGGAGATTGACTCGCGCACTAGTGACTAGGAAAATCTGCAACGGGCCTGTCATCATTTTGTGTTGTACAACTGATGTGAGTGATGTGAGTGTGATGTGGGTGGACCTGTGGCGTTCTTCTCAATACCTGACGGCCAGCCGTCCGGGCAGACCTGCGATGACGGAGCAAAACTTCCCCTCCCCACACTCCATACCCGACTTTGTTCATGCGGATTCGAATACAAGAACCCGATGAATACATGCTCGTCATATATGTTGACATTGCAAAACTAACTCATTCGTTTTCATAAATGCTGTACTACAGTTTAGTGGATGGAAGTCGTGGCAACAATTGCCACGAGTTTGTGGATAGCGTCTCTGGGAACTCGCGTGTGCCACGTCGAAAGGTCTGGGCTTGGGATCATCCACTTTCGTTGAAACGATGACGTGCCACAAGGAAAGTCCTTTCATAGTTGCCTGCCAGTCGCATCACGGAACAGAGGCCTTCGGGTGCTGACGTTGCGCGCACTGGATTGGTTGGAGACAGCGTATGTGGCGAAGAGTAGAGCTCATGTCGAAGAGGAGATTAGGACGATCATGCGGGATATGGCGAACATGTGTAACCTCTGTCGCAAAATGTCGGATGGAGAGTGCGGGAGAGCTATCACAGGCAAAATGCATTGCGAAACCCAAACTCTACATTGTTACAGTTTCGTACACAGCACAAGCACAAACCGTGCTCCTCCCTTGAGCGACGCTGGGAGCAACCAAGGCAGGAACCAACCAAGGCTCGAGGGGGTGGATGGAATGGAATCCATGATCCGCAAACTACATCCTGATTGGATGACTGCTGCCTTTTCCGTGACATCGAGCTCTGTGGCTGGCTACTGCTTGGTGGGTCACTCTGCTGCTGCTCCCTCTCCCTGCCTAAGTTCTTGAAGTCATTTGCTTGTCCTGTAGGATCAGCCACCACTAACATTCGTTCGCAGGCTTCTTGTCAGCGTTGCTGGGTCCAAGTAAATTTCCGACCAGCATTTGGTCTAGGGTACCAGTAATCCCAGCCCTCGTCTGCTCTAGAAGCAGCCATGGCGCTTGCAACCAACGCCGCAAACGCTGCTCTGACTGCAGGAGCGGATTCAATCTCCGCTCTCTCGCAACGCTCCGTTGCGCCAGCGACAGCTCAGCAGCTCGCCTTCGCGTCGTCCACCACATTCGGTGCCACGAAATCTACCCGCGCCAATGCCACGTCAGCGAACCGCGTGCAGCACCAGGCCAGGACGAACCAGCCCGGAAACATCCGGTGCAAGGACTACCCGAAGCCGGATTTCGACTCCGAGCCGCAGCGGGAGGCTCAGCAACTCTCAGCCTCTTTTAAGAACCTCCCGCGGCCCGAGAAGCCGTTGAAAGTCGCTATCATTGGCGCCGGATTGGCCGGGCTGAGTGCGGCGAAGTACCTGGTGGATGCGGGCCACATCCCCACCGTCTACGAGGCGCGCGACGTGCTTGGCGGGAAGGTCGCCGCGTGGCAGGTGCGTTAGAATTGTGACTCGCGATCGCTCTTGTGAACGCTTTCTTGATTGTGAGGTATCGATTTGTCAATACGGTCGTCAATACTGCTAATTTTCAAGCATTCGACTACCGTTGTGTGTTGAGACGTTTCTAAAAGCTACTTTCTACATCTGACTCGGTTGGCAGGATGAGGAGGGTGACTGGTACGAGACCGGCCTCCACATTTTCTTCGGAGCCTATCCCAACATGATGGAGGTAAGAAAGGGAGAGGTGCAATGGGGTTCCCAAAAGGAGGCAAAGATATTACATTAACTCGCTCGGTTAGTAGTGTCGGTGATGGTTTAGTGGAAGGTTGAATCTTTGCACGGTGTCGAAAGTACAAGCTGGCGGAACTTAGTCATCAAAGAGCCAACGGCTTTAACAAGCAGTAAGATAGCTATTGGTATACTAGAAGAGCAGAAAGTGCCACTGCGCACAATTCGCTTTCCCCCTCTCCTCCCGTTACCGCAGCTGTTCAAGGAGCTGGACTTGGAGGATCGGCTGCAGTTGAAGAAGCACTCGATGATCTTCGCATGCGATACAACTTAGGGAGTTCTTCGCTCACTCACTGTGCGCGATACGCTTTCCCCCCTCTCCTCCCGTTACCGCAGCTGTTCAAGGAGCTGGACATTGAAGACCGGCTGCAGTGGAAGGAGCACTCGATGATCTTCGCCATGCCCGACAAGCCTGGCGAGTTCTCCCGCTTCGACTTCCCCGACATCCCCGCGCCCGCCAACGGCGTCGTCGCCATCCTCCGCAACAACGACATGCTGACGTGGCCGGAGAAAGTTCTTTTCGGAATCGGGCTTCTGCCCGCCATGATCCAGGTCAGCTCAACACTGCATGTGCTGTTGATAGCGTAACCCTCACGCAAAGGCCGTCCCGCTGCCTGGACTTCATGGTTCGCTCTATAAATCGAGAGATGAGATGAGATGGGCGCTGGGAGGATGACCGACGAATCATGAGCGACGGAGCTGATGGGAGTTGAAAGTTTGCTCGGTTGTTACACTGTGCTTGCTTGCACCCCCGCGCCCCCGCCCGCCCAACTCCGCACGCGCTCACACGTGCTCCATCGATTCTGGTTACCCGGTTACAGGGACAATCGTACGTGGAGAAGCAGGACGGGCTGTCGATCTCGGACTGGATGCGCAAGCAGGGCGTGCCGGAGCGCGTGAACGAGGAGGTGTTCATCGCCATGGCCAAGGCGCTCAACTTCATCGACCCCTGGGAAATCTCCTCCACCGTCATCCTCACCGCCATGAACCGCTTCCTCCAGGTGCGCTCGCCGCTACTACCATGTATGACGGTTACAATTGTAACATACGGTACATGTATTTGGTCACAACATGAAGCCGGTTCCTTTAAGTATTCAAGTTTCTTTCTCGCTTCGTTGGGTAAGCATAGAGACCTCGTCACCTGGGACCAGGCGCCCACCAAACTCCTCGCCCTCGCCCTCGTCCCCCATCCCATCCCTCCCCTCCCATCCTGTTTCCTTGTTCCCCTACTCCAGGAGAGGCACGGGTCCAAGATGGCGTTCCTGGACGGCCCGCCCACCACGCGCCTGTGCGAGCCCATGGTGGAGCACGTTACCAAGGGCGGCGGCCAGGTGAGCGAGAGTGCTGAGCATGAGGGTTCAGGGGCGACTGCGGAGTGTTTCTGAGTGCCCTCACCCGCCTGTGCCAGCCATGGCGTGGAGTGCCGATGTGTGCCAAGGGAGGGGATGTGAGATAAGAGAAGTGGGGTGTGGCGCAGCAGTTGATGCAGCAGAAAACGAAGGGACGGGTTGCGCGAGGGAGGGCGTGTCGACTGTGTGGTCGTCTAAAGTGCATAGATGGAAGGAATGCACGCTGACAATGCACGGCCGGAAAGGGAGGAGTTTGCTGGTGCTGTGGGCATGGGCAGAGGATAGGGTAGTGGCACCGGCAGCATAGAAGATAGGAGCGCACAGGGCGCAGAGGGTATAGAGCAGAAGCTCGGTTCGAATCTACTTAGAACCCAACCAAGACCGTTACAGTTGTCCGTAGTGTTTCAGGCGTTAGGTGTGTTCTCGGCAGCAGGTGTTACAGACACATAGAGACTGTTGCGGGTGGTACAGTATTCCACCCTCAAGGGCTTGGGGAAGCAGTTGAGGAAGGCTGTCATGTCATGTCTGCAGCAGAGGAGGGCGATAGGGTCGATGGGTGAGAGGAGGTCAGTGAGAGAGGTATGTGAGGAGGAAGTGATGGAAGCGGTAGGTTTTCATTATGAGTCCTTCCTTTTGGCCCCTCCTTCCTCCCCTTTCCCAATCCACCCCTTCCCTGCACCCCCACCCTTCTTCTTATTCCAATGCCTTGCCACCCTGCTACCCCTCAAAATTCACCATGCCACTCCCCAATTCCCTGCCATTCCAGGTGCTGCTGGAGAAGCGGCTGCAGAGCATCGAGCTGAACGAGGACGGGTCAGTCAAGAGCCTCAAGTTCCAGGGCGGGGAGACCGTCACGGCCGACCTCTACGTCTCCGCCATGCCCGTGGACCCGCTCAAGCTGCTCCTGCCGCCCGCCTGGAAAGCCGACCCCTTCTTCCAGAAGCTGGACGGGCTGGAGGGCGTGCCGGTCATCAACGTGCACCTCTGGTTCGACCGGAAGCTCACAACCGTCGATCACCTGCTGTTCTCGCGCTCGAAGCTGCTCTCTGTGTATGCAGACATGTCGGTGACGTGCAAGGGGTATGCGGATGAGAACGCGAGCATGCTGGAGCTGGTGTTTGCGCCGGCGAAAGAGTGGATTGGGAGGAGTGATGAGGACATAGTGCAGGCGACGATGGTGGAGTTGGAGAGGCTGTTCCCCACGGAGGTGCGTGCGGATGGCAGCAAGGCGAAGCTGAGGAAGAGCATTGTGGTGAAGACGCCCCGGTCGGTGTACAAGGCGGTTACGGGCCGCCAGGCGTACCGCCCCGGACAGACCACCCCGATTTCCAACTTCTACCTCGCTGGCTGCTTCACCATGCAGGTGCGTTTGTGTTTGGCTCGAATGTGGGTGTGAGTGTTGGGTTTGAGTGTGTGTATGGGTTGGGGGGTGGGACTGATCTGTACGGGTTCAAGCATTGTGGTGAAGACGCCCCGGTCGGTGTACAAGGCGGTTACGGGCTGCCAGGCGTACCGCCCCGGACAGACCACCCCGATATCTAATTTCTACCTCGCTGCCTGCTTCACCATGCAGGTGCGTGCATTTGTGCGTGGTTTGTGTGTGTGAGTGTGGGTGCAGGGGTGTGGGGAGGGTGGGGGTGGGGTTGAGTGAATGGTGTTTGGGCTTTTTCTTGTGGTCCCTCCCCACTCCCCTGCTTCCTTGCTCCCTCACCCCCAATTTGAGGTCCCTTCCAACTCCCCTGCTGCCCCCCTCATGCTCTTGCCCCACTCCCCTGCTCCCCTTCATCCCTGCGTCCCACCAACAGAGGTACCTGGCGTCAATGGAGGGCGCAGTGCTGTCGGGCAAGCAGTGTGCGGAGCAGATCGCCACACGGGGGGCGGGGCGCAAGCCGGCTACAGGCATTTCAGTGCAGGACTTCCTGCAGAGGCAACCAGAGATGGCCACTGTGTCGCTTGCCGCTGCTCTGGGGGTTGCTGCCACTGCAGCAGCCCTGCTTGCTGCCTCAACAGCAGCCACTGCTTTGCCACTTTGAAACATGTTGTATCAACTTGTCCCATGTTCTAGAACATTTTTTTTCTTATGAACCAAAGTACGTTTATGAGTTGCATAGAGATCTTTCTTTTGGTGGGTCTCTGGTTCACATACATGTTCCCTCAGGGCAATGTCACATCACCCATTCTTATGGTAAGTGAATGTCGAAGCTAATCTAATCAAGGATCGGTCTTGGATCTTGTTTTATGAACTGACGGAACGAACTGTCCGACGCACTTCAGATTAACGAAGGCATTCAGCAACGAGTATGTGATGGGCATGAACCAATTGACACTGCTGCGGCCTTGGGAATTTGTCTGACCATCAGCAAAACCATCCAAAAGCTGGTTTCTGCTCAAAAACCCTCTCGAACCGCTCTAGAGCCCAAAGCACCACCTCATTGAAACGCAAATGAACGTTTGCCTAGCTCCAACGGGCACTGCTTTTCGTCAACTCCTAGGAACTCATCCTCACCTGTCATGGCGATACTAGTCTCGAGTCAAATCTTCGTGCGAATCCAAGCGTTTCGAGACCCGTATGTGGATTAGCATTGACTAGCATTGCGAAGGAACTTACGAGCGGCGTGTAGAACGAGCTAGCACAGTGAATAAAACGAATCTATGGCTGCTTGTCTCAGAAGCCTTGCCACTTGTCACCTGTCCGCGTCGTCGAATTCAAGGAGACATGTTCGTCTCGAGCTCTCTCGCGCGATATTTTTTGGCCCAGCTACTTCAGCAATGTCGTTCACTCCAGGGTGTCTCCGGACCTTGTCCAGCACCATCCAGTACCGTCCAGCACCACCCAGTACCATCCAGTACCGTACAGCACCGTCCAGCACCGTCCAGCACCGTCCAGCGCGTCGCCGGCCCCTGCCAGCGTCGCTTTCACCTCCTCCCGCCTCCAGTGATGTCTCTCGCGGCAATTCTGCTTGCGATCAACCATCCCGTCGCCGTCCCTCGCCAGCGTCGTTCCTACCGCCTCGCCGTCTCCAACGATGTCTCTCTCTGCGATTCTGCCTGCGACCAATCATCCCGTCGTTGGGAATCGCATTCGCCGCGAAACTCCAGCCCGACTCGGGGGATGAGTTTGCAGCCGCCGCGGCTGGATCGCGACGTTTCGCGTTCAACGCCGCTCCATTGGGGATCATTACAACCGGAACGTCCACAGAATCACGTTCAGTTCGACGTCACTCCATGGCGCTAGTACCTAGTTCCTACGGTTGCTACTACCGTTGGTATTGCTCAGGTCCCTCCTTGCGTACCTGCGCTGGTACCCCGTTCTCGCCTTCCGTGTGTCCGCGTGGCTCAATGCCTTAGCTTGCTGTAGAGGACTTTGTTGCAGACGAGAACAATTGACTTCTCAAGCAGCTGTCCGAGTCACTCCTTGTCCACACTTGGAATCAGTGGGTGGATGAGCGAGCTGCTTGGCATCCAAGCTGTTCACTCTTGAACCCGCTTCACACACTACTAGCAAACGTGTCGTCAGCATTGCTGACACTAACGCACGTGCTCTCTGCAACACTGCCAGCCAGCACTGTCAGCATCGAGACGGCAGCCAACCATGTGCGATGGTATTTACTGCCTGAACCAGCATATTCGCCAGCCGGAAAAGAGCGTCGCCTAAGCCTGGCAAATGTCTTTCTCGTACCAAGAGTGATCGGGCAGGAAATACGGTCCTTGAGGACAAGGAACACCCAAGTCACACGTTCGTAGCTTGAAGTGAAAATGCTGTTGTTGGTAGGGTGTTCTCTGGCAGACAGTGGTGGGAGGCTGCTACTGGGCCACGTGCTAGCAGCTTGAGGCGTATATGCTGCTAATGCTGCAGCGGCTGCCTGCTCCTGCAGCTGCTGCCTGCTGCTGCCTGATGGCACGCTGCAATGAGGCTGCAATTAGACAGGCAGCGGCTGCCATCCTTGACCTACGCATGGCGGTTCCGTCACGGGGTGTGGTGGACAGGTGCAGAGGTGGTGGGATGAGTGGTGCGATGCGGTTGAGAACTCACAGTGTTTCCGGCTGTATTCTGTCTCTCTGGTCAGCAACGAGGCTGCTGCTGCTGCTGCTGTTTCTCCTGCTGCCTGCAGGTTCACAAGGTATGGAGGATCATGTAAAGGACTCGAGAGTGGGCTGATTTGTTTGGATTCGAGTGGGGAGAATTCGACAACGTATTAATAATTTGATTGAGTTACTACTTAGTTACTACATAGACAAGGGTGGAATGGTTAGATCGGATTCGGAGGTAGATTGATTCGATTGATTGATCTGAGGGTTGGTTGACTGGATCAAGTAAATGTTTCCTTTGCATGACCAGATTGTCCTGTTGCTCCCCTTCCATAATGCATTACCTTCTATATGTGCCACCTTTCTTTCCTGTGTGCAGCTCAGCCCTTTCCTTTCCCCTTCTTCTTTCCATCCTCCTCCTCACCCTCCTCCCCTTCCTCCTCGGGTGTCACCAGTCTCCCATCGACACCTCCATCCGTCCTCCCGCCTCTAACTCCCTCCACGACATCATCAGCGCTCCCTGCCACGTCAACAGTTCCAGCCACGTCAGCTCTTCCAGCCACGTCAGCAGCAGGACAACCTTTACAAGGATCAGGGGGGGAGCAAGCAGGAGGGAGCGGGGTTGTGGGAGCAGGAGGAGGGGGGAGTGGGGAGATGCGATCAGGGACAACAACCACAACAGCAACACAGGCGCCTCTGCTCCCCCCTCCTGTGTCAACCACCCAGCAACTTGCACCATCTTTTCCCTCATCATTCGCGCCTGTTACAGCAGCTGATGTTTCCTCGTCTCAACTGCAGCCCAGTACTCTTCCCACTCTCCCCACCGGCCCCAATCCCCTCCCTCTGGTCCCTTCGTCTCCCCCTTTCAGCTTCTCCCTACCCTTCCAGTTCTCCTCCTCCTCCTCCTCAGAACCTCCGCCCTCCTCCGCGCCCCCCCCTCCCTCATCTTCTCCCCCATCCCTCACTCCCTCTCTCCCCTCTACCGCCTCTTTCTCCCCTTCTCCTCCCTCTCTGCCAAGCTCCTCCGCTCCCTTGCCGCCAGACTCCCCCTCTTCCTCCTCCCCTCCCTCTCCCGCACCCCTTTCACGCACATCTCCACCACCCGTGCTCAGTCCCTCGCCCTCACCATCCTCCGCCTCCTCCTCCTCTTCTCCGGTCTCTGCTTCCTCATCCCCCTCCCAACAACGCTGCCTATTCGCAGGCCAGCAGCAGCCGTGTGTGTGCCTCACACAGCCAGACTCACCCACTGCAACACCACAGCGCAACTACTCCTCTACTGCTGCCGCCCCTGGCGCTGCTGATACTCCTGCCACCGCTGCTGCTGCTCCTGCCGCCACTTCGGCTGCTGCTACTGCGCCTACTGTTGTCGCTACACCCACAGCTGCTGCTGCTTCAGCAGGAACCCCCTCCGCCACCGTTAGAAACGTTGCTGCCAGTGAATCTGCCCCCTCGCGCCGCCCTGCTGCTGCTGCTGCTGTCGCCCGCCTGTCGTTGCCTGCTCCAGTTGTCGCTATCCCAGGGTTGCAAGTGTGCCTTGTCACAGGCTTCTTCGGCCCCTGCACTTGCACTCCTGGTAGGTTGGTCTGATTCAACATGTGTACGGTGTACCAATATGTGTGATTCCACTTGCACCTTGCACCCACCGCACATGCTGCCTGGGCGCTTGCAAGTGTGCCTCGTCACTGGCTTCTTCGGCCCCTGCACTTGCACTCCCGGTAGGTTGGTGCGTGAGTCCCTTTGCAACCACGGCTGAGTCCCTTGCACCCACTGCCGCGCATGCTTCATGGGCATTGGCGCATCGAAGGGTTGCAAGTGTGCCTTGTCACAGGCTTCTTCAGCCCCTGCATTTGCACTCCTGGTAGGCTTACTCCATTTCAGAACCTGCACTTTGATACACATCCTCTTCCTTCCCTCTTGTGTTTGTTTGTCCCCATTCCTCTGTCATTATGCAGCAAAAGCCCAGGAGCGCGATGAGTCATGTATATTGTGCCCGCCCGTCAGCGCTACTTACTTTGTATTCCGAACCGCACCTTAGTGTGTGTTGCTCCCTGCCTGCCCGATTGCATCCCAATCCACATGCAGGCGATCCAAGCAGGCAGGCAGACCCAGACGCACCTCCATACCCACCAGCCCCACCAGGCTCACCAGGCCAAAACGCTAGCGTCCCTTCACCAGACCTGTCCCCTGCTGCTGCTGCTGCTGGCGCACCGGGCACCAGTCCTTCTCCCCGTTCCCCGAACTCTCCCCCCGAGTCTTCTCCTTATTCCTCTCCTAGACCAATAGCCACTTCCTCCGCTGCTACTGCTTCACCCCCTTTGGACCAATCAGAAGAGCCGACTGCCCTGGTTGCTGGTAAGAACTAGCTCCAGCTGTCCCCTTTTCCTGAATTCTGGTAAGAACTAGCTGACAGCAAGTAGCCTGATTTCTGGAAACAGGATATTCCAGTTAGGCTCTTTCTTTCACTTCCCACGGCTTTGCTGTTCCCTCTCCGTGTCCTCTCCCCCTTCTCGCCTCCCCCTCCCAAATTCCAGCTCCACCCCCTCAGTCAATGACCGCGCAACAGCTGGCCGTCACAGGGGCGGCTGCGCGGGGAGTGCTAGCAATAGCACTCATTCCGTCTCTCTCCCTTCTATCCCTCCCCGTATTCCAGCCCCACCCCCTCAGTTAATGAACACGCAACAGCTGGCCATCACAGGGGCGGCGGTGGGGGGCGTGCTAGCGATAGGGCTCATACTGCTGTTGCTCTTCGCTGCAGTGGGCTGCTGTGGAGACGTGTGTGGGGGGTTATGTGGACGCTTGTGTGGGAGGCTGTGTGGGGCGAGAAAGACGGAAGACGAGGAAAGTGTGTGGGTGGGTGGGTGGGGAAAGGGAAGGGGGTATGAGAAAGTGGAGAAGGGCAGTCTAGGTGCCAGTGTTTGTCGAGAAACTTTGGGTGGGAAGGGGCAGCAAGGAAGGGAGGCGAGGAGGAAGACGAGGCGAGGCGGGAGAGAGGGACGGGGTGAAGTGGAGAGGGAGAGGCAGGGGAAGGATAGGCCTTGGCACGTGAAGAAACAGGAGCAGCAAGAGCGCTTTGAAGAGAAGGCGCAGGAGCCTGGGGGAAGGGCGCAACAGCCTGAGAGGAGGGCGCAGGAGCTTGGGGAAAGGGTGCAGCAGTCTGGGGGGATAGTGCAGCATCCCGGGGAGAGGGCGCAGTTCAGGACAGGTCAGCAACAGAGCATCCCGGCACACGAGCATAGGCACCAAGAGCAGCAGCAGCCCATGCCGCCCCTTCAGCAGAACATGCCGCCCCTTCAGCAGCCAATGCCGTCCCTTCAGCAGAACGCCAGGCTGCAGCAAGTGCAGCACCAGGAGCAACAGCAGCAGCAGCACCGCAACCAGAGCAGGGAGGGGAGGAGGAGGCCACGAGTGGCAGAGCAGCATCGAGAAATGAAGGACCTGCGTGAGGAGGTGGGCGCAGTGATGGGCTCGGCTGAACAGATGAGCTCAGGCGTGGCAAGGGGCATGGGCATGGACATGGGCATGGGCATGGGTATGCGTGGTGGTAGCGGCATGGATAGAGGATGGAATGGTGCAGCAAGTGCAGTGCTTCCGTCTGTTGAGGAGCACATGGGATGGCTGGAAGCACAGGCCAGCCTGGAGCAGCAACAAGCACAGAAGCAGCAGCAGCAGCAGCAGCAGCAGCAGCAGCAGCAGCAGCAGCAGCAGCAGCAGCAGCAGCAGCAGCAGCAGCAGAGGCAGCAGCAGAGAGGCAGTGCTGAGCAGCAAGGGACAGGGGGCAACCACAGGCAGTATACAAGCCAACAGCAGCAGCACCCATCCTTCACTGCCGTGCCAGCTGCAGTTGAGCTACCTGCAGGCATCTCAAGCTACCAGGACAAGCCAAGGGGTGCACCGGAGCTAAGAGGTGCGGCCGAGCCAAGGGGCCAGGTCGGGTCATCATTTGCTGATACTGAGCAGACAAGGAAGAAGCAGCGAGGCATGCATGCTGAGACGGTGGACGGGAATGGGGCAGGTGCGCAGTCAGCAGCAGTTGCAGGCGCTGCCATCACTACTGCTGTGCTGCCATCGGGGGAGACTGTGGATGTGGAGCGAGTGGTGATCGGGCAGGTAAGCTGGGGATGGGAGGGACGGAGTCTGTTTGGAAGCATGGATTTTACTTTGATTTATTCTCCATTTTTACTCCGTTCCCTTCTCATGTGTACTCCCAACCCCCCTGTTTATCTCCCCCCACTTCTTCTCACCCCCCGTGCCCCTCTCCCTGATTTCCCCCTGCCCCAGCTCTCCCCTGCCCTACTCTCACAGCACATGCGTCTGCTCTCCCACCTCCCCGACTCTTGAGACGTCTCAAAACTCTCCTCCCTCCGTTCCTCCCTCTCCTTATTTCCCCCCTGCCCCAGCTCTCCCCTGCCCACATTTCACAGCACATGCATCTGCTCTCCCACCTCTCCCACCCTCACATCGTCGACACCCTTGGCTACAAGCTGCTGGCCGGCAACATTTGTCTGGTAGCGACAGCCCACATGTCACAGGGGACTCTCCTCCACTGGCTCAAAGGTCCGTCCCATGTGTTTCTTCAGCTGGAACTTCAGGCGATTTTTTTTTTAATCTTTCAGCTTTTCTCTCGAGTGTTTCTCTGGTGATCCTTCAGCTTTCAAGTGTTTCTTCAGGTGTTTCACTTGTGTCGGGCAGGTTCGCCACATCGGCTGGCTGTCTCACGCTTTTCCGCTTCCCTGCCCCCTTTCTTCCCACAAAACTGGTTCGTTCTGTTTTTGCGAGCGCGCGAGTGCTAGGAGTGCATCAAGGCAAAACATGCCTATCATTCATCCCCGTTTCCCCCTCTCACCAATTCCCCCTTCCTCCCCCCCACTGCTCGACTGGCCTGCAACGGTGCACGTTGCATGTCGGAAGCTTGACTTCTCGCATTCGCCCACTCGTACGATTCCCCACTCCTAATCGTCTCAATGCTCCTTACTCCCTCTTCCTCGCAACCCTGCCCTGCACCCAGCCTCCTCCCCCCCTCTACGGGACTGGCCTGCAAGGGTACAGGTGGCGCGGTCAGTAGCCCGAGCGCCCACATTTTCCCAATCGTGTAATTGCCTACCTTTCCCATTTTTCCTTTCTCCCTCTTTCCCCACCGCCCCCGCTTGTCCCCAGCCTCCTCCCCCCCTTTACTGGACTGGCCTGCAAGGGTGCAGGTGGCTCGGTCGGTAGCCCGAGCGCTCACGTTCGCCCACTCGTGCAATCCCCCTCTGCCACATGGCGCTCTCTCCTCGCGCCACGTGGCGTTTGGGGCGGACCTCAAGCCACGCGTCGGCGGCTTTGCTGCTGCCAGGCTGAGAAGACTGGGGCACCACAGGTGAGAAGTGGGAGAGGAAAGTGAGAATCGGAGGAAGCTGCGAGGAAGGTGAGAAGTGGGAGAAGCTGCATGTCGGCGGCTTCTGCTGCTGCCAGGCTGAGAAGTCTGGGGCACCACAGGAGAGAATTAGTGAAAGCTGCGAGAAAGGTGAGAGGGGATGGTGGCGGGGGGAAGGTGGGAAGGCAGTGGGTGTGTCGAGCAGTCCTCCAGTCAGCATCGCTGGATTCAGTGCTGCCGCGGAGGGGTAGGCAGAAAGGGGAATGAGGCTGGAGGGAACGTGAAGGGGTTTTTTTCTCAAGGCTGAGCCGTCTGGTGGATAACCGTCAGCCTCTGCAGCGTAAGGAAGCAGAGGGGCTGACTGGTGGAATGCTGCAGGTTGGGTGCGGCAATTTGAGGCGCCTCGAAGGTTGCCTGCGAGGCTGAGAGGCAGGTGTGTGGGGTATGCAGAAGAGGGAAGCAGGTGGCAGAGAGGGATGCGGACAGCTTGGAGAGGGAGTGAGTTTTCATCCTTTGTCTCCCTTTTCTTTCTCCATGCCCGCAGGGAATTGGATGGAGATTCTTCTGATGACATCGCTGCTGGCATGGCAGCTGATGTGGCGGAGTGCATGGCATCGGACATCTACAGCTTTGGTCTCATTCTCCTCCATCTGCTCACCGGCCGTGACCCCTTCCTCTCCTCCTCATCATCACCACCACCTTCCACCTCGTCCTCTTCCTCTTCCGCTTCTGCCCTTTCGCTTGATGCCCATCAGTTGCTGGCTGAGGTGAGTGATGAGAGGTGAGGTGAGTGATGAGAGGTGAGGTAAGTAATGTGAGGTGAGGTGAGTGATGTGAGGTGAGGTGAGTGATGTGAGGTGAGGTGAGTGATGTGAGGTGAGGTGAGTGATGTGAGGTGAGGTGAGTGATGTGAGGTGAGGTGAGTGATGTGAGGTGAGGTGAGTGATGTGAGGTGAGGTGAGTGATGTGAGGTGAGGTGAGTGATGTGAGGTGAGGTGAGTGATGTGAGGTGAGGTGAGTGATGTGAGGTGAGGTGAGTGATGTGAGGTGAGGTGAGTGATGTGAGGTGAGGTGAGTGATGTGAGGTGAGGTAAGTGATGTGAGGTGAGGTAAGTGATGTGAGGTGAGGTAAGTGATGAGAGGTGAGGTAAGTGATGTGGGATCAGTTACCCGTATTTCAAGTGCTAGAACGCCTTAGTGTTTTACCATGAACAGTGAATTTGTTTTTTTTTTTCTAGGATCACTGATGCTGCTCCGGATGCACATAGCCGTGTGCGCATATTCATCACCTGCACATGCATGAGTGTGTGTATGTATGTGCATGCAGTCCCATACGCACATGCATGCACTTGCATGCACTCACACGCACACACCCTGCTGGTGTAGCTCTCCAATAGCATCCCATAATTCAATGCTTGCACCACATCCATCCCGTATTCCTGTCGAATCAATTCCATGCACTCACGCGCACACACGCCCTGCTGTTATAGCTCTCCAATAGCTCAAGGCACCATGATTCAATGCTGCACCACATCCATCTCTGCAGGTCAAGTCGGCATGCGAGCGCATGGACTGCACACGTCTGCTGAGTTTAGCAGATCCTTCCCTCGCAATTAAGCGCGCACCCTCCACCATGTTAAGGTACGGCCCGATATGTGTGGTGGATTGCTTTTGCGTACACTCTGTTTATACCTTTTCTTCCACTTCTCTTTTTGGTTTGCTTTATTTCTCTCTCTCTCTCCCTCACATTCTTACGTGCAGCTTTGCAGAGCTAGCCGTCAGCTGTGCAGCTATGCCAGCTGAAGTTTCTTCAATGGCGGAGGCTAGTCATCGTCTCAATGTGCTTGGCATTATGTCCTTGGACTTTTGAAGCCACGTCGAGGAAATTGTGTGCCCCAAGGCAGGCGTATGTTCAAACGTGATGCTAAAATATAGAATATCTCCGTGCGTTGAAGGATTTCTTATGGTTGTTCACTTGCAGTGTCCAATGTCCATATGCTATTACGGTAAGGGGATGCTCTACAGTATCCAACAATGTTTGAATGCATAGCCCAATCGTGAGGGGGGAAGGGAGTGCGTAATTCGAATTACCCGAACGATTAGGATCTCAGAACCAATTTTAAACCCTACCATACCCTGAGAGACCTTATCACATGGAAATGTTCACAAGCGAGTCGTCTCGTAACGCAGCTAGGTCTCGTCACAGAACAACAAAACTTTGTCACGAATGCAGAGGCATCTCAGCAAGCAAGCAGAAGCGCTTTTTGTAGTCGTGCAGGTCATAAGAGCTTCCGCGTTCGGCGGAACCGTTGAATTAGCGGATCCGGCAGTACCTTGCCTCGAAGGGCCGCACGCCGGGGAGCGACCGGGCGTGTCAGCGATTTTTCCTGTTCGAGAATTCTCGAATCAATTTTGACTGATTTCTTAGGGCTCTCGCTCTAGTAGGCATAAAAATTCGAGAGATCATACACTAGTGTCTCTCAAAACGAGCGCAACGAGATAATCAATCGACCTTCGTTTGCAGTATAGTTTGCAGCAAAGCGAAGGAGTAAGTGGTCCGATCGTATCGGATCTTTGGGCGTTAGATCAGCTGCCGAACGTCCATTTGACGGGACTGAGCTGGTTGTCGCGATACTGCTGCATTGTTCGTATCCGTTTCGCCGGGTCGCGGGACAGCCTTTACCGTTAGCCGGCAGAGTTAGTCAACAGGGAGACTCGGAGAGTGAGCAGCGCGAGTCGGGAAGGGAGGATGGCTCTAGAGAGCGATCGCAGCAACAAGCGACAGAGAGTCACCTCAGGCACGTTGTGCGACAGACCTGCTGTGCGACAGGTTGGGCGTGCGACTGTGTTGCTGTGCGACTGGTTTGCTGTGCGACAGACATGTGCCTCCTGCCGTTCTTTCGTCAATATGATGTTTCGCTTTAGCATCATTACTATCTGTGCATGCTACAGTACATGCATGTGCTACAGGTGCCTACCCGTGCTGCTAAGGACTTTATTCAAATCGCCTTAAAGCACCTTCGCTGTTCCACCAGGTTGCCTTCCCTCTCCTCGCCTCGCTCCCCTCTCCTCTCTAGTCCTCTATGCTCCCCCCGTCCCCGCTCCCCTCCTCCCTTCTCCATCATCCTCTCCCTTCCTCCCCGACCAACCTCGCTATGTCGCTGACAGACAACCGTGGGCCCACATTTCGCAAGGATGAAGCCGCATTCGAGGTTGGCTCGAGGTTAGTGGGTGTGTGTGAGACAAGGTGCCGTGATTCTTGTTTGTGTCAACATGAGCCCAGTGATGACTGATGGAGACTGGGAATTCATGAGGCGCCTAAAAAAATGACTGATGGAGACTGCTGGGAATCTCTAAAGTCCCCACAATTCGCAATCCGGACCGGGCCGTTTCTCTCGACTCTATCATCGGGACTGCGGGTCCGCTCCCTTCCCTCTATCTTCTGCTGCTGAACTCTTAATTCATATCTGCGGGTGATCTGCGGGGCCCCATTGAACCCCACTGAATCCTATTAAACCCATGAAATTCCAAGGGCTCTGCCTGCAGCGTGTCTGTCCCTTAATACTTTCATTCGCGTCGTCACATCACCTCACCCTTCCCCCTTTCTCTCCGCTTTTCTTTCGTCCTTGGCCCTTTTCTTCCCTCCGTCCCTCTGTTGCCTCCATTTCCCGTCTCCATTGTCTCTGCTTACGGTGCGCCCAACCAATATGGGTTGTCCCACGGCATGGCAGCTGGCGCGTGCTCGTGCTGCGGCTTGGCGAGCGGTGCATGGAGTTCGATGGTCGCATGGATCCCATTGAGCAGATGGTACGGCTGGGGGGAAGAGAGGGGTGGAAGGGGTGAGGGAGGAGGGGTGGTTGAGGTGGGGGGATCATATCACTTTGAGACATTCTCAGAGGTGCATGCATGGAGTTCGATGGGCGCATGGACCCCATTGAGCAGATGGTAGGGCTGGGGGGAAGAAGAGAGAGGCTGGACTGAAAAATGGGGGAGGGGAGTGGCAGGGAGAGGGGGGGGGGGGGGAGGGACTGGTGCTGCGGCTGGGCGAGCGGTGCATGGAGTTCGATGGGCGCATGGACCCCATTGAGCAGATGGTACGGCTGGGCTGGGGATGTGTGGTGGAGGGAGAGGTGGGGGAGGAGTGGGGGGGGAGTGGGGGAAGGCGGGGGTTGATGGTGGACCTCAAAATAGCGGATAGGTACCTGCATTTGAGACGTCTCTACGTGATAACAGTGTATCTTTGAGACGTCTAAAAAGTACACTTTTACCTCGAAACGGGAGGGGGTTGGTTGGTGGACAGTAAAGCGAATTGGTACCCGCCTCAGCGAGTTTTACGGGCGAATGGACCCCATTGAACAGGTGGTACTGTTGGGGGGAAAACGGCGGGGAAGGGGTGAGGGTTGGATTGGATGGGTGGGGAACGTCTCAGGATAGTGAGAATAGCATCTGGCTTGGTGAGTTCGACAGCCAAGTGGAGGGCTTCAACAAGGGCTCGTCCTCCTCCCTTCGCCCCCTTTATTGCATCCCCTCCCTCCTTTCCCTCCGCTTTCTCTCCTCCCCACCTCCCACCTCCCCTCGCACCTCTCAAATCGAATCGCTTTACCAGGACCTGTGCCTGACGGTGATCAGCCGCAACTTTGACGCCCTCAAGGGCGAGCTGCTGCCGGTGAGCCCAGTGTGCTTGTGTCGTGCTGTGCCGTGCCGCGCCGCTCCACGTGCGTGCGTGCGTGCGTGTGTGCGCTCATGGGCTTGTGCGCTTGTGTGTGCATGTGTCCCATTATCCAATCTGTTCCCGCCTGTCCTGTCCTCTCAGATTCTCTCCTGTTCTGGCCCACGCCCTGCCATCACATGCTTTGCTTCCCACTTCCATCCGCGTCAATTGTCTATCTATTACCGCTCTTTGCCAATGCTCAGCATCTACTCACTAGCCATGGACCACCTAGCCGGGCCCCTTGCACCCAACCCCAACCCCCCTGCTCCATGCGCCCCTTTCCATGCAGCTCCTAATGCAGTGCGCGGAGGACCTTCCTCAAAAGGCACCCTTCACCGGCCAAGGACCTTGCTGCGTGCACGTCACCCATCCGCCTTGCGTCCCACCCCATGCATCCCACCCCGTGCACCTCACCTTACCACATGCAGCTCCTAATGCAGTGCGCGGAGGACCTTCCTCAAAAGGCACCCTTCTACACCACTCTGGTACCTCCTTCTATCTCCTCCTTCCCTCTTCCGCTTCCGCTTCGCCCCCCCTCCATTTCCTATCCGTTCCTCCTCAAACTCCCCCTGTGACTCAATTCTGCTCCACTCTCCGACTATCGTCTCCTCTGCTTTTCCATGCTCTCTATCGCTTCTCTTCCCGTCTCTGCCCCGCTCTGCTCTCCTCCTCTCTGATGTCCTCTCCGCTCCTCTCCTTATGCTTGCTGTCCCCTCGCTGCTTCGCTTCACTCTGATTTTTCATTCTTCATGTGAAGAAGCACAGTGAAGCGAAGAGTTAAGGGCGCATCCTCCCGGCCCCCATCTCTCCCTTCCCCCCCCCCCCCCCCAAACCCCACTCCCGCTCCTCTCACCACCAGGTGTCGCTGCTCAATGTGGATTACGAGGAGTTTGGGGCGTCTGTGGTGGACCCTCACTCCCTTCCTCCCTCCCTCTCCTTTGATTCCCGTTCCTCCTTCCCTCCCTCCTCCCCCCCCTCACCACCACCAGGTGTCGTTGCTCAGTGTGGACTATGAGGAGTTTGGGGCGTCTGTGGTGGAGCACGTTATGGCAGGCTTGCAGGTGGGTTGTGTGC